GAGCTGGTGGTGGCGGCATCTCCTCCTAGAGAGGTACATCTCGAGCCACCGCAGCTGAGAGCAAACCCTGGCAGATGCAGCGAGGTTTCTGGGTCTCTAATGCCAGAGGCCAGCATTGCTTTGGGGAAAATGCGCTTGTTTTTATGGCCCAAGCGAAGGGAAATCTCAGACTTGGGTCATTTGGGGGATGATTTCGCATCTGGTGGGAGCAGGAGGTGGGAAGAGCTGGCAGCACCTTCAGGGAGATGTTCACACAGCCCTGGTAAAGGTGCTTCATCCCTGGAGCAGCTCCGGCACATGGCCAGGCGGGAGAGGAGCGCTTTCTTTCTAAACTCATGGATCCAGCAGTGGATGCAGCCAAACAGCCCGCGTTAAATGATGGGAAGGTACGTTTTAATGTCTCCTCTCGCTCCCCGTTCAAAGGGAGCGTTTAGGACTGAGCAGGAAGACTACAAGTGACCCCATTTGTGCTGAGCATCCTCTTCTCCTATATGTAGAAATACGTCCGTGCGCGTACGAGGCCCGGCGCCTGGCCCCACGCGGCCGGCCAGCCCTGCCGGCGCTGCCTTTCTGCCTGCCTTTCCCTCCGGCTGCCGGCGGGCACAAAGCCAGGCTTGTTCCCTGCTCCTGCTGCTGCCGTCGAAGGCCACGGGCGCCCGGCAGCCCCGCAGAGGGGGGACCACGGCCACCCCGTCTCTCCCCAGGAGCTCTTGCCGGTCCCCAGCGGGGCATTAAGCACCCCCAGCGTTATCCAGCTGGCTTTGCTTTGGGATTGTGCTGGAGAAAAACCTTCCCTGAGCGCCGGCAAGGCTGTGATTTGCTTTTAGCTGCTGTTGGCGAGCGATGTTTAAAGAGAGATGTGTACCCTCCGAAAAGCTTGCCTGCACCCCCATGTCCTGCACACCTCCGGGGCCAGAGCGAAGCTTTGCTAGGCTGGGATTTGCACTTTAATTAAGCTCGTGGATTTTTTTTTTTTCCCAAGGCTTGTCGTAGTCAGGTCTCCCTCCGCGGTTGCTTTCCCCGGAGCCCCTGTGTCTGCAGGGCTTGGTTGTGAGCAGTTTTCCAGAGGTATGCTCCATCCCAGCTCTCCATTTATAGAAAGGAATTAAGGAGAAATGAGGGAGCATTACTAAGAGGATTTGCACTGCGACTTACTCAGTTTCTCCAAATAATTTGCAATAGCTCTGGATTCTTTAATCAACGCTTATTTCCTCTTGGAAATGAAAGGAGAAGCGGGAAGGTGCTGTGCAGCTCCTGAGCAGAGCTCAGCTCCGAACAGGAGATTTGCAATTCAGAGGAGGCTGAGAGTGTGATTTGGGGAGATCTGGAAGGGGGGTGAGGGTGTGCATATGTGCATGTGAAAGAGAGAAGTGTTTCTTGGTGCTCAGAAAGCCTCTGTCCCTCTGTCCTGGGTCCCTCTGTGCCGTTTTGAGCTCCTCTGTCCCTGTCTGGAGCCTGCAGTCGCATGCCTGGAGAGGTGTTATGGTTGATGTGAGCCAGGGTTGGGGGGGTCACCCCAATGTGGGGCTGTTGGTGGCTCCACTCTGGTGTGGCATCTTCTTGTCAGGGGTCGTGGGGGTCCTGGAGATGTGGTTCAGCTCACCCTGAGGGCTGGCAGTGCAGGTTGCCAGCGGGATTCCTACGGGATAGCGCTAAATTCCCCCTGGGCAGGGCTGTGGCAGTGTATCGAGCCAAGGAAAAAGACCTTGCGCGGGTTTCTGGGGACCCCCTGGGTGCTGCGGAGGGAGGAGAAGTGGCTCAGGGAGGTCCTGCTGCTCAGGGCAGAGATGTGGTTGCATCGTCCCTGGTCTGTATTACCTGATTCTACTCGTACCCTAATCGGCCTGAGCCTTTCCGTGCTCCTGACGGTGGCATTTCCTCGCCCCACTCAAAGGGTGCTTGAAATGCTACCGGTGCTTGCAGCATTACCGGTGTTTGCAGCAGCAACGGTGCTGCTCACCCAGCCTCGGCAGGGCACCCGTGGCCCAGCCCTGCCCCGGGTGTTCCTCCGCTGCGGTCTGCCCCACACCCGGGGGCAGAGGCCGGCGTGGCGGTGTCACCCCCTCGCAGCTCTCCTTCTGCGAACGGGGCCCCACCAGCCTCCCCTCTCGCTTCCCTCCCGGCCCCGCTGCCTCGGCGGCGTTGCACAAGAGGAAACAGCGGGGTTTCCTTTCCCGGCAGCGGGGAGGGGTGCGGGGCGGGAGGAAGGGCCCCGCTGCCCCTCGCAGGCTCCCTGCGCCTGCCATCGTCCCTGCCCTGCTCCAGCGCTGCGGGGGGCGGCAGCAGGAGAGGAGCCCTTTGGGCACCCGCGTGGGTACGGGGACCAGGGGCTGACATCCCTCCATCGGTGAGAAACCGGAGCTGGGCCAGCGGCGCTGCCGAGGCCGCGCTCGTGGCCTGGCAGGCGGGAAACAGCCCTTGTGGTGTCGAAGCTCGTAATGGTGCCAGACGGTGTTGGGAAGCAGCGCCTGTGGGTCGGGGTGAAAGACTCTCTCCGTGGCAAAGAGGTCTGAGCTTTCTTTCAAAGCAGCCCCAAATTTCCCTCCTTCTTAACCCAGTTTCACAGCCAAAGTTCGTAGACAGGAGCGTACACTGCTGTCGCCCTCCCCGACCCTGCTCGTCCCTTGGAGGTGACGCTTGTAGCCTCGGTCCCTCGCTGCTGCCCTGCGCTCCTCTGGTTTGCTTGCACGGGCACTGCCGGAGCCACTGGCCGGTGGTGCGGCGGTTTGGGCATCTCCCAAGTCCCAGCGCCTGCTCCCAGTGGCTCCCAGGATGGGATCCCTGCCCTGCCATCCCAGGGGATGCGGCGGCGGGGGGGATGCCTGCGGCATCCGCAAGGACAGAAATGTGGGATCTGCCTTTTCCTCGGAAAACCTTTCCACTGTCTGCACGGACCTCATGTGCGCTTCAAATGGAGCAGGGGGCTCGGGGATGGAGGATCTTGGAGGTCACCGCCCGGAGCCAGGGGCTGCCAGGCCCCTGTCACCTCCCCGCTGTGTCTCCCCACTCCGGAGGGTCACTGGGGGCCTCTTCGGTTGGAAAAACGTGTCCTTGCTTTACCAGGAAAAGGAGTCAGGAAAGAAAAATTGCTTTCCCACGAAAAGCCGTCAGGAAAGAGCGTTTAAACTGGGAGCTCCGTTTCTAGCTTTCCCAGGGATGCGGCAGCCCCCAACACTGCTTCCCTCCGGAGACCATCCCTGTCCGGTCTTTCAAGGACAGCGGAGTGGACACGTGCTGCGGTGAAGCCGCCAGCTTCAGGAGAGCAATGTCCCCATCCTGCCTCCGGCTACGAGCTTCCACTCGCCAGCTCCGGCTTTGCAGTTCTTATTTGTGGTCCAGGACTCCCGTTTCAAGGTGGGACGTGTTTAAATGCTTATCCTGGTGCTCCTTACTGTGCCCATCGTGGCTGTCCTGCCTGCCTGTGCTGTCGTGGCTGCAGGCTGGGATTTTGGATGAGGACAAGCTGCACCTGGCGCCGGATCCATGGCATGTGTCACCGATGGCTGGTGGGACACGGGCATCACGCTCCAGGCTTCCGCCGCTGGCAGAGAGGCGCCTTCCTGAGGATTTCGTTGGGAATTTTTTAATGCTGAATTTTATTTTATGTTTTCATAAATGGCAAGGGGCTGCGGCCGCGGGGCCGGGCAGAGCTGCAGAAGTGGCTCCCACCCTTGGTCCTCCTGCGCTGGGAGCCTGCTCGCCTCCACCCAGCCCCTCGGGAAGGGACGCCCATCGGGGTCAGGTTTCTCCACCACCGGTGTTTCTTTCAGCTCTCCATAAAGCCGGGCTAAGACGCAGGTTCTGGTCCGTGTCCAGCCTGCTGCTGGACTGGGATGTTTGTGCCTTGCAGCTGGTGATCTGGGTCCCCTGCCACCCCAAAATGAGCCTCCTGCATCTTACTGATGATCTCCATGGTCACCAGTAAGCGGGGACCTGGTGGTGAGCGCAGTGAGCAGTTCGGCACGGCTGAAGACCCGCCGTGAGCCCCGGCAGAGCCAGCGCCGTAGGGATGGGGCTGCAAAGCCCACGGGGCTGCATGGACCGGCCCTGCCAAGAGCAGCCAGCGCAGCCAGAGCGAGCAGCTGCATCCCCGCAGCAGAACTGGTTTATACTGGGACATCAGGACCCAGACCTGGTGTTTCAGCTAAAGGGGTGCTCGGCCTTGGGATGGGGGTGCAGTTGGCAGCTGTGGGTGAGAGCAGAAGCTGTCTCAGCCCTTCAGCACCTTGTCCCCGCTCCAGCTGGTGGATGCTTTGGTGGCAGAGGGATGTTCTGGGGAGGTGGGTCAGGCTCGGCACTGGGGGCTTTGGGCCATGCCCAGCCGTATGTGGGGTGCCCGTGGCTGATGCTCATGGGCCCCCCAGCGCCGCTCAGCACAGAGTCGTTGGGGTCGGTTGTGATGGGGCCTCCTCGGAGAGGGTGAGCAAGCGGGGGTGCAAGGAGGATTGCAGTGAGGAAGGTGCTGGGATTAATCCCGCTGCTTTAATGGGTTTATATCAGTAATTAGCTACTTCTGGCAGTGCTGAGCCAGCTGGTTTCTTCCCTTGGCAGTGGGATCCTCACGGAGCAGGTGCCAGGCAAGCGCTCAGCAGCGACACGGGAGCCTGGGGAGAGGGCAGCTCCGTGCCGGCATCACCGCGCTCCCACGTAGGATCAGCCGCAGCGTCCCCCCGCTGCCAGCACAGCTCCCCGAGGGGCAGAAATGGGGTAGGGTTAAAAATCCTGCCCAGCAAACGCTTCCAGCGGCTGCTGCTGCTTCTCCAGAGGCTCAATGAAGCGCTGGCTCTGCCCAGGCTCCTCAGCGTGGGCTTCCCGAGGCCCCCGACATCTGCATTGCAAGTCTTGCCTTTCCTGGCAGAGAGCAGAAGGGCAGCTTGCGGGCAGGGTGGGCAGTGCTGGGGAGAGGCTGCCTGCCCCACGGGAGGCTTGTGCCGGCTCCCGGTGGGATCAGAGCAGCCGGGGAGCGCCGGGCGGTGGGGACTGTTTGTGCCATGGCCGAGATGCCGTGGATGCGCCTGTGGCCGAGTTGGGATGTGCCGGTCGGCAGTGGGGTGGGGAGGTGGCAGCAGGTGCCAGCCAGGGCAGCTGCCCGCGCTGTGGGCAGCAGATCCGTCTCCCATCCCTCTAATCCCGCAGCTGGGGCTGTGTCCGGCCGTGGAGCGGATGGGCTGTGGCAGAACACCAGCAACTGCAGAGCCGCCCTGCTTCGGTGCCAATTAAGCTGCGACCTGTCCTTTGCTGCCAGACAGCGCGGGCAGCCTGGGTCCTGCTCCGCTCTGCAGCATGCAGCAGTCTCGCTGTCCTGCTGCCAGATTCCCTGTGCCCCATGAAATGCCCTCCCTGCTCAGCACCCCCCGAAAGCAGAGCAGGAGCTGCCGGCTGCTGCCCATGATCCAAGGGCAGAGGAGGGATTTGCCTTCCCTCTGCCCGTCCCACCGCCCCGAGGGCAGGAGAGGGTCCTTTGTAGTCGCTGCTTTAATTGCGTCGTTATTATGCTGAGTAAATGAATCCTGGCAGCAGCTGAACCTGGCGGATGCCAACCACATCCCAGAAAGGCATCCGGCAACGGGCAGCATCCAGCTGGCACGAGCAGGGGCCGGGGACCTGGATGGGACCCAGCCACCGACAGGTGCCGGCAGAGCCGGGGGGTCTCAGCGGGTGATGGGTGACCAGGGGGGAGCCCGAGCCTTTCCCATCTCACCCCGCCTCCACCGCTTCTCTTTTGCAGACTGTCAGCATCAATAAGGCTATTAATGCGCAGGAAGTGGCTGTCAAGGAGAAACACGCCAGAAATATCCTTCCCAAAGTTGGCTGCGGGACAAGCAAGCGTGGGAGCGGGGCCGGGGCCGCCCGGAAAAGGGGCAGCAGCGAGGCAGCGCCTGGGGAGAGGTGCTGGTACAGCCGGGCCAGCGCCACAAGCCGGCTGCCGGGGTGCTGGGGGCAGCTGGATGGGACCCTGGGGGGCTCTCAATGACGGTTGGGGTTTTGCCGGCATGGCACGGGGTCCCTGCTGCTGCTGCAGCCTTTGCTTGTCGGTGGGTGCCCAGCCTTGTGCTCGCGGCACTGCCATCCCATGGGAGGGCGGGAGGGGCAGATGCCCGCAGCAGGTTGTCTACCCTGGGCCGAGGATGCTTAATCCCCGAAGGTGCTTGTCAGCATGCCGCCACTAAAACCAGATCCCCAGCATCCTGGCAGGGCAGCTGGGAAGGCTCGGCAGAGGCACAGGCCCAGCCCCAAGCATGCCACGGTACTCCCGGAGCGGTGGTGTGGGGCTGGAGGAGAGGGGACAGCATGTGCCATCCCCAAGGATGGCTTGGCAGCTTATCAGCTCCCTGCAGTGGCCTGGCTCCCCTCGGCTCTGCGGGTACCAGCCGGCTTCGGGGTGGCCGCCGTCCATCACCACCGAGGGAGAGAGGAGCGTTTCCTTGACGGGCCACCACCATGCATCCTGGGCACACACCACGAGAAGGGGGCACAGACCTTCTGGTCGGTGGTGAACCGGCTGCCGCTCTCAGGCAACGCCGTGCTCTGCTGGAAGTTCTGTCACGTCTTCCACAAACTCCTCCGGGATGGCCACTCGAACGTGAGTGCCGCGAGCTCGGCTCGGCAGCCGCCCCGGGGCCAAATCCTTTCTCCCTGGGGCCGAACGGGGCGGTGGGAGATGCTGGCGGGTTGGTGCCCTCCTGCGGTCAGTCCTGGGTGGGGACCCCTCCCCGCTCGCTTTGCCGGAGCCTTCCCGGCACTGCTCTGCCCACAGCCCCGCTGCGCTACAACCCCCGGTGCCGACTGCGGCGCCGGTGCCAGAGGAAACCGCTGGGCGCGGGGTGTCGGCGTTGGTGCAGGAGCCATCAGCAAGGATCTTCCTGCCCTGTGTGCAGCTGGGGAAACTGAGGCACCCTGGGGCTGGGGGTAATGAAACCGCTGGCAGGCTGCAGGGTCGGGAACACATCTGGACGTCCCATTCCTTACCCCGATTACCGGCTCCAAGTATGGCACACCTTGCCCCGGTGCTCTGCCTGCTGCCCACGCTGCCTGCTTATTATCATCATCATTCCTCCAGGTCCTGAAAGACTCCGTGAGATACAAGAATGAGCTGAGCGACATGAGCAGGATGTGGGTAAGCGGCCGACCCTGCCGGCCACTGCGGTGGGGACACCCCGGGGGTCCCTCAGCGGCACCCGGTGCCCCAGGCTGGGGAGTGGTGGTGGCTTGGACCCTGGACTCACCCAGGCTCCGAGGGCTGAGCAGATGCTCAGCCATGGCTGAGCCACGGTGGCCGTGACCTCCCCGGGCTGGGTTTGCCAGTCTCGTTCGGTATCCCCTTCCACCAAAATCAAATGCCTTTTTCCTATTTTATGGCAAAAAGCCCAGTAAAACTCAGCTCTGGCGGCCCAAAAGAGCACTGAAAACTGCAGAGAAGGTGACGAGAAGGTCCTGACCAAATTGCTTCGGCACGTTTGCTGCAAGCCAACCTGCAGCCGGGGTGTCGGCGAGGAGGGTTTTGGCTGTGTTTTTGGGGGAGATAAGGGAGGGGTTGCTCCTGCTGCGAGGGGAGAAGGCTTTTTCACAGCCTGCCCCAGGTCTCAACAGCTTTTTGGTGTCCCCAGGGCCACCTGAGCGAGGGCTATGGGCAGCTCTGCAGCATCTACCTCAAACTGCTGAGAACCAAGATGGAGTTTCACACCAAGGTGAGCATCGTCCCGTCCCCACAGCCGCAGTGAGGGGTGGGTGATGGGGCACTGGGCCAGAAGCGGTGGCAACGTTATGGGGCAGGACAGGGGCTGGCAGAGCCGTCCTGGTGCTGTCACCTCCGCGGGTTCTCTGCTCTGTCATGGCCGTCCTGCCGCCTCCGTGAAACGTGGCCCAGGTTGCCGGGGTCCATCGTTAGCCTGGGCCAAAAACTGCCTAAGGACCGGTGCCTCGGAGGTGGACGGTTTCGCGGTGGATCAGGGCTCCTTGGAGGCACCTGGGCTGGGCTGGAAGTTGTGGGGGCTACAAGAAGCAGTAGGAGACCCCCAAATTGGGGTGCGCATCCCCTCACAGGTATCTGAGATGGGCAGAGGTGGGAGAGGCCATGGGGTTCTGGAGTGGGGAGGGCTTGCGGGGGCCATGCTGTGCCATGCCGCGCCATGCCGTGCCGCACCATAGGAGCAGCTCCTGCCTATCCCCAGCGCTGCCCTGGCGAGATCGGCAAGGGCTAAAGCAAGCCCAGGCAGCAGGGACAGGCAGGAGGCAGCGCAGGCAGGGCAGGGGCCAGCACCGAGGTGTAAATCCCCTGGAAAACCCTGCGGCAGAGCCTGGCTTTTCTGCATCGCCGCGAATGCGGGGAGGGATGCCGGGGGTTTGGGCTGGAGGCTGTCCCTGTTGGTGTGTGGAGGAGGATGAGGCTGCTCCATCTGGCGTGCGAGCACGGAGGATTATCTGCGACGGTCAGCAAAGGAGAGATGAAATAGATGTGTCTAGAAACGTGCCTTTGATCGGGACTGAAGTTTGGATGTAAGATGCTGTAAGTGCTTTCTGAAATAAGGTTTTTATGTGGGCAGGAAAAGTGGAGTGGAAGCAACAAGTCAGCCTGGAAATTTCAGAATGATGGAGAAATAATGTTTAACTTAACCTAAGCGCTGCCAAGCGTGCCCAGCCTGAGTTCTCAGCACAACTTTCAACAGTCACAGATTTGCGGTTTCTTTATGAATACCTGGTTCATCACAGACCATAAATCTCACCTTAGATTTATCAGATCGGGACGAGGTAGCACACAAACCCTCGGCCCCCAGCTGCCTCGGTGCTCCCAGGGCTTCTGCCCTCCCTCGCCTGCCCTGCTTGATAAGCGTCGCTGCGCTCGGGGTGCTGCTGGTTCGGCCCCGCCGATGTCCGTCCCATCCTGTCCTACCCAGTGCTGTCCCCAGCTTGAAATAATCAGTGCCGGTCACCAAAATCCATTTTTTTTCTCTCTCCCCTTTGGGCTCTTGGGCCATGGGTGCTCCTGGGCATGGGAGCATCCCAGGGGACCATCCCAATTGGGTTTTTCCCCCATCGTCAGGAGCTTGTTTCCAGCCTCCAGGGCAGTGCTGCAGTGCAGGTCCCTTCTTTGGGCTGGCCTTTGGAGAGGATGCACTCAGAGTTGGCTGGCTCCGGGTCTGCTCCACGCCGTGCCGGCCGCCGGGGTGATGGGGAGCATGTTTATAGGAAGGGAAAAGTGCCCTGTCGCACCTTGGGAGGCTGTGCTTACGTTGATGGAGCTTATTATTTAGCCAGATACTTTCTTACAGAAATAGGAATGGAATGGAATAGAATAGAATATGCTTGTGGCAAAATAACAGCGTGCTGCCAAGAGGAGAACGGGAAGTCACGGGAGCCCTGCGTGGCTTTGAGCGCCCTCGTTCTTACAGTAACCAGCTGCGCAGGTTTGGTACCCGTGGTGTTTTCTTCCTTTCCAAGCTCTGCTGGAAAGAGGGGTTTTCTGAAGCCAGGCTGTACCCATCACCCCGATTTGGTTTGGAGACGTGATAGGACCTTCCCCGAAACTTCTGGGCAGCATGAAGAGGCTGATATCTGCCCCAAGCAGATATCAGCTCCTTCCCCTCCAGCTCTCGGTGATGCCACGCACGAGCTGGCAGCCCCATCTCCTCCCGGCTCAGCAGGTTTCTAAGCCCTGGGAGAACTGGCTTTTGTTGCTGGGGAGAATACAGGTGCCATGGACTGGGGATGCTGCGGTCTGCTCAGCAGACCTCGTGTGAGCCCCCTTTCCCCCTGCATCACTCCCTTGGTGCATCCGAAGAGCCGTCCCCATCCTTGCACTGAGGCCACCGGCCAGACTGGCAACACTGGTGCTCCCAGAGCTGTGGCCGGAGCAGGAGATCCTCCGAAACCCTTTCCTGACTCCTGTTTCCCCACGCAGAATCCCCGCTTCCCCGGCAATCTCCAGATGTCCGACCGGCAGCTTGACGAGGCGGGGGAGAACGACGTCAATAATTTGTGAGCGCGGGGCAGGGGCGGGAGGCGAGGGAGGAGGGCAGATGCACCAGGGTGGCACCGGCACTGCCCACCCTCCCCAGCAGCGAGACCGAGCTGGGGATGGGACCTTGCACCTTCCCCCCACCCCTGCCATGGGTGCTGGGAGCGGGCAGAGCCCCTGGGCAAGGCTGGCGCATCCACGCCGGAGCACCCGCTCATCCCTCTGGGCTGGCACCTGGCACAGGTTGAGGCCCATGGTGGCCGCAGGGATGCTCCCCAACCATCCTCATCCCTTTTTCCTAGTTTTCAGCTGACAGTGGAGATGTTTGACTACCTGGAGTGTGAGCTGAACCTCTTCCAGACGGGTAAGCCCTGGCGCTGCCCTGCCGGGGGTTGGGGTGGGGGGTCTATGGGGGCTGAGCTGCGTTGGGGGGAGGCTCCGGGAAGGATGCCGTCTGAGGGCGTCACAGCTCATCTCTTTTCTGGGCACTTCACCCAAATTATTATTAGCTGAAGTCCCTGCGTGCCGTGCTGGCTGGTGGCAGCCGTCTGGCAGTGCCGTGGGGCTGGCCGCATCCCCCCACCCTGCTCCCCGCCACCTGCAGCGCTTCCGCTGCCCAGACTTGGGCTCTCCCGCTCCGGCAGCCTCCCCAGGCTGAATTTCTTCTCGTCTTACTCATGGGCTTGCGACAGGTTTTGGTTTTTATTAGTGGCAAACGCAAGCTGCCGTGGGTGTTTGTGGCGGTGCTGGAGCTGGGGGAGGCATGGGGGCACCCTGCCTTCCTCCTGCCCTCCCACGCGAGCAAGCGGAGGGGTAAAAACAAGCCAGCCTCAACCCTCAGGGCTGTCACGTGCCTCTGCATGCTCGAGCAGGATCAGGTTTGGGGTAAATTGAAGCAATTCTGGGGCAAGGTTTTATTTACTGCATGCACCAGGTTGTGGGTGCTGGCGGGACAGGGCTGTGTTTCGACAGAACTGGAGCAGCACCCCGTCTCGTGGCCGCACGGCGGGACGGTGCCGGTGCCGGGGGGCTCATCCATGCGGTGCACCCCCGTCGCAGGAGCTCTCGCTGCTCTGCCTGTCGGAGGGGAGTCGCTGGATGGAGGGAGATGGAGTCCCAGGGTGGGGGGAGATGAAGCCGACATCTTGTGCAACCGCCCTGCTAGGCTGCCTGCTGCACCGGCCCGCTTCGAGGGCAGGCATCCCACGGCTCGTGGGACATCCACAAGGCTAGATCGTGAAGAGAGTCCCTGGACACGTCTCCGGCAGCCCGGTGTCCCATGCCTCAGGCTGGCCTGTCCCCACCGCAGCAGAAATACCTTCTGCAGCCAGGCTAAATTGTTCCCATGCCTGTGGGGGAGTCCCAGTCCCGAGTGGGAATTTCCCCTCCCGCTGAGCCAGCAAATGGCTGTGTGGCGGCAGGCTGGGTCCCCGAGGGCCACTGGGTCCCCAGGGGGCACTGGGTCTCTTGCTCCGGGTGACATTTGTGACATGGCACCCTGCGGTGCTGCCAGAGCCTGATCCCATGCTCTGTGCCTGCAGTGTTCCGATCCGTGGCACACTCAAAAAATCTTTCCCTGCAGTGTTCAGCTCCCTGGACATGTCGCGCTCAGTGTCGGTGACGGCCGCGGGGCAGTGCCGCCTGGCCCCGCTCATCCAGGTGATCCTGGACTGCAGCCACCTCTACGACTACACTGTCAAGCTGCTCTTCAAGCTCCACTCCTGTGAGTGTCCCCAGCCCCACCACCTTGGGCAGAGGGGGCACGGAGGGGGATGCTGGGGGTCACCACTCTGCTCAGGCTGGGCCGTTCGCCCCCCATCTCCTTCCCAGCCTTTTTGGGGGAGTGGAGGGAGTCAGCAGGGCAAGGGACAAGGAGGTGCAAGCACTGGGGACCGAGCTGTCCCAGGAGCCTGCCCTGCCGAACACCCCTCGGCTGCGGGGATGGTGCCCACCGGGAGCCCCCCCAGCTTTGGACAGGCACCGGCTGCAAAACCCACATCCCCCAGGACCTCAAATTGTGGTGGCAGCTGCCTGAACGCCAGCCCGATGACTTCCCTGCCCTGGGGGTGTCTTGGGAAGGATGTGATCCCCTCCTGCCACGGGACGCTGAGCCCGGAGCATTCAGACAGCGGGAGGAGGGCGGCCATCTCTGGGAAAGACCCATCCCCACGTGGCTGTGCCGATGGGTTGTCCCCGATCCGTGCTCCTTCCCAGCGTGGAGACACCCGGTGATGTTTCTGCTTGCTTCTTCCAGGTCTGCCGGCGGACACGCTGCAGGGCCACCGGGATCGCTTCCTGGAGCAGTTCAGAAAGTAAGTGCCCAGAGCCAGGGCGCTGGCTTTCCGCGCTGCCGGCGATGCTCCGGGGGCGCTCCCAGGGCGCAGGGAGTGCAGGGGGATGCCGGAGCCCCTGTGCTGGGGCTCAGCAGCTGAGCGATGGGGATGGAGCAAGTGCAGGAGTCTGTCTTGCTTGGGCCTCTGAAATCCAGCCCGCTTCGACCTCTCAGCTTTCCCTGGAGCTTCCTCCAAGGCAGCCGCTCCGCTTGGCTAATCCACAGCTATTGAATTACCAGATAACAGCGTTATTAATTCTAACGAGGCATTCAGCCTGACGGCACATCCGACGATTTAAAATGCTCAGGCCCTTTAATTGCAGTTTTAAATGCAATTTGCAGTTGACGTGCTGAGATGAAAGTCTGGGCACGGGCTGAGAAGCCAAGTGTGCGGGGGGGGGGGGGGGGTGCCAGTGGGGACACCCCAGAGATGCCCTGGGCTGGGTGTTGGCTGAGCAGGGTGCTCAGCACCCTTACCAGTCTTTTCTGCTTGCGATGGGTCCGTTGGGAGAGGGATGCAATGGGGTAGGAGAATGCAAGCGGCAGATGGAGGCGGTTGGAGATGCTGCTGCGGGAGGTGAGGGTCTGCACAAGCCCTGGGGGGACTCATGGTCATGGTGCTGGGGGTGCGGGACAGGGGAAAAGGATTTTTTTTCCCCCCCCAAGTTCTGTTGAATTTTAAAAAAAAATGCCCGTTGCACAAACCCGAGGGAGCTTGTTAAAAGGGCAGCCAGAGGATGAAACCTTTGGGTGTTGCAAAGCTGAGGAGGGGTCCGTGAAGGGCCTTGCAGAGAGCCTGGGTGCCAGGGGTGCTGCTGGGTGGTGCGGTGGAGCAGAGGTGGCTTTTGGGTGGGAAAAGCCATCCCTGTGGGGACACAGCTAGGAGAGGGTACAGCTCGTGGCACCTGTGTCTGTCCCAAATTAAGATATCAATAGAGAGAGATTAAAAGCAGCAGATAAAGGGTGGAGGAGGAGAGAGCCAGAACCAAGTCGTGGTCACCCAGTTACCGGAGACCTTGGGCATGAGGGTGGCTGGGATGCTGCTGGAGGACTGGCAGTGCCCAGGGGCTGAGGAGCGTCGTGGTGCTGGTTGATAAAAAGGGAGAGGGGAGGGAGGCAGCGGAGGGGCTGACCCGGCGCTCGGCACAGCAGGGAGACGGGGAGTGGGAGAGCGTCTGCATGAGAAAGACAGCGTGGGATGGGGTGGGTGCTGCTGCGTGCGGGAGGTGGGCGTTTGGTTCGTGAGAGGCTGTGAGCTGCTGCAGGGTGATGTGCAGTGGGAGTGAGCTTATTTATTTCCAAAAGTTCTGGGAAAAAATGGAACTACCTTGGGAAATGTGGATGACACCAGGCTGAGCGGTGCAGTGGGTACGCTGGAGGGAGGGAAGGGGTGGCACCCAGAGGGGCCTGGGCAGGCTGCAGGGGTGGGTGCATGAGAACCTCATGAAGTTCAACCAGGCCAAGTGCAAGGTCCTGCACCTGGGTCAGGGCAATCCCCAGGACCAGCACAGACTGGGGGATGGAGGGATGGATGGATGGATGGATGGATGGATGGATGGATGGATGGATGGATGGATGGATGGATGGAGAGCAGCCCTGTGGAGAAGGACTGGGGGACACTGGTGGGTGACAAATGGGACATCAGCCGGCAATGTGCGCTTGCAGCCCAGAAAGCCAAGCGTCTCCCGGGCTGCAGCAGCAGCAGCGGGGCCCGCAGCTCCGGGCAGGGGGGGGGCCCCCGGCGGCGCAGCCGGGAGAAGAGACGGCTGCGGGGAGACCTCACTGCGGCCGCTCAGTGCTGAAACGGGGCTGAGAGGAGAGAGGGAGACTCTTGAGCAGGGCCTGCAGTGACAGGACACGGGGGCTGAGCGAGGCCGGGCTCAGGCTGGCCATAAGGAAGCAATGTTGGACCGGGAGGGCGGTGAGGCGCTGGCCCAGGTTGCCCAGAGAAGCTGTGGCTGCCCCATCCCTGCAAGTGTTCAAGGCCGGGCTGGACGGGGCTTTGAGCAACCTGATGGAGTGGGAGATGTCCCTGCCCGTGGCAGGGGGTTGGACTGGATCATCTTTGAAGGTCCCTTCCAACCCAACCCATTCTGTGAGTCCATGATCCGATGAGGTGTGAGGGCACGTCTCCCCTGGATTAGTAACTGCACAAAGAAGAGGAGACAAATGGTTGGGTTTTGTGCCAGCAAGTATCTCGAGGTGATCCCCAGTGACGGTGCTGGAACGGGTCCTCTTGCCGTATTTTAAGTAAGATTGAAAAAAAGCAAGCGGTGAAGTGCCATGGCCTCTGGTACGTGGTTATTTAGGGTAGTTGAAACGAAAACTGGCCACCAAGAGCAGGGGGAGGATGTCACGGTGCCGAGGGACAGCTCAATTCAAGGTCACAAACTGCAAACCAGTGCCCATGGGGAAAAACACCGGGCACGGACGTCAGCAGATAGCGGGGCTGTCCGTGGGCTCTGACCACCCCGGGCAGAGACCTCGGGGTGGGTATCAACAGCGCCGAGATACAGACTGGGATGCCGGCGTGGCCGGAATGGAGGGGAGCCACAAGTGGAGTGGCTGGGGCACGAGCCACAAGTGGAGTGGCTGGACACTGCGGCTCCTCCCCAAAATTGGAAATCCTGAAGGGAACTACCCTGCTCCTGGGGGAGCTGCTCCTGCGGGGAGCTGAAGGTGATGGTGCAGATGTGGCCTCCAGGCAGGAAGCCCCCAACCCGCTGGTGGCCGGGGCTGTGGTGGGAGCAGTGGTGATGTTTCTCAGCTGTCCTTCAAGGTCTGGCATGGGAAGGACAGCACAGAGAGGTGGCTGGGCCTCGGTGCGGCCCCGTGCAGCCATTCTGCTGTGGTTCGTGGTTTCACAGACTCACAGAGTGGTTTGGGTTGGAAGGGCCCTTTGAAGATCACCTAGTCCAACCGCTCTGCCGTGGGCAGGGACATCTTCCACTAGAGCAGGGTGCTCAAGTTTCAGGTCCTTCTCTCTGCTCATCAGGTCCCGCGTTTATGGGAGGAAAGCCTTCCAGCAGTCAGTTTTTGCCGGAGGTGGGAGACAGGCAATGGGGTCTTCCCAGGACCCGCCGTGGGTTTGGTGGCAGCACACACCACCGTCCCCTCCGGCGCAGCGCGGTGGCCCGGTGACACCCTCCTGGAGCCAGGCGAGGGGTTGGAGCTCCCCACTTTTGGGGTGAGGTGTGTGGGTTGGGCAAGAGCCGTCCCTAACCGTTCCCTGCCCCTTGCAGGCTGAAGGACCTCTTCTACCGCTCCAGCAACCTGCAGTACTTCAAGCGGCTGATTCAGATCCCGCAGCTGCCGGAGGTGAGAGCCCGTGGTCCCCGGTCCCCACGCTCGCTGTCCCCATGGCCAGGAGCAGCAATGGGACCAGTGGCACTGGGACAGTGCCCAAAAAGGGTCACCTGCCACCTTGCCTGGCTTCCCGGGGCTGGTGGCAATGTGGAGCTCAAGACTCATCCTTGCATCCCTCCCTGTGTGGGATCCTGCGGGATGGAGCTGCCCCTCCGGCCAGGGGCTGGGATCCATCCCCGTGGGTCCTGGCTCCATCCCTACGGGTCCTGGCTCCATTCCCACAAGTCTGGGCACAGCCAGCTCAGCACCAGGGCAGGATTTCAACCAACCGTGCCCAAAGCCCTGTGGCAGTGCCGGTCCTCCCCCACCCAGCCACGCTCCCCTCCCTCCCCAGAACCCTCCCAATTTCCTGCGCGCCTCGGCGCTGTCGGAGCACATCAGCCCCGTGGTGGTCATCCCCGCCGAGGCATCCTCACCCGACAGCGAGCCCATCACAGACCTGGTGGAGATGGACACGGCCTCGCAGGTAAGCTGCCGTGGCACTGCCCGTGCCTCTCGGCACGAGACCAGGGTTATTTCTCCAAAACCATGCCGTGGTGGGTGCTGAGACAGCGGGGATGGCCTCAGGTGCTGGGGAGCATCACTGCAGGGGGCCGCATGGGTGCTGGGTGTCGCATGTGGGTGCTGCTAGGTCTGAGTCAGGCTGAATTCATCTCGCAGTGCTTCTCTTAGTGGTTTGGCGCCCTCCAGTGATGGCTGGCTGGAGATGTTTGGCTTCCCAGCGTCGCCCCTCAGCTCTGCGTGCTTGCGTTAGGTCTTCACGCCCCTCTCCACCAAGGGTTGTCCCCGGGCGCTGAGCGTTTCGGGAGGAGAAGGGGCGTGCAGTGACATGGCTTTGGGGATCTTCCCCTGCTGGGAGTTAGGTGGGGATGGACCAGAGATGCTCCACGTTCAACACATTCAACATGTTCGATGCCCTGGGAGCAGCGGGGCAGATCCAGGCAGCACGAGCAGGCAGCAGCTCTGCTGGCATGTGGGCTGGCTCGGCGGTGCCACCAGGGACATGGAGGGGACGAGGGCTCCCAGGAGGTGGGTGGGTTCACTCCAGGTCCGTGCTGCTGTCCCCGCAGAGCCTGTTTGACAATAAGTTTGATGACATCTTCGGCAGCTCTTTCAGCAGTGACCCCTTCAACTTCAACAGCCAGAATGGGATGAACAAGGATGACAAGTGAGCAGTCCCAGTGATGCCACGGAGGTGGCCGGGATCAGACCGGGAGCTTCCTCCCCGGCACAGCACTACAGCCACCTGCCAGGCTGCTGCAGCACAGCAGCCGCGGTGGCCCAGGGGACGCCTCCGCTCCCAGGATGCGTCCCCACGGCACCGGCACGGCTGGTGGCACTGAGGATGTACCTGGTGTCTCTCCTTCCCAGGGACCGGTTAATCGAGCAGCTCTATGGGGAGATCGCAGCCCTGAAGGAGGAGCTGGAGAACTTCAAGGCCGAGGTGGGTGATCACCATCCAGTGGTGTCACGCAGCGAGCACCCGTGTGGCAGTCCCATGATGAGACCTGGCGGCTCACGCTGGGAACAGGGCTGGCAGGGTGGTGGCTGTGTCCCTGGGTGGGCAAGGCGGTGACCCTGTCAGTCTGTCCTGCCCTGTCCCCGATGGCTTCTGCATCCCTGGCGCAGCCATCCCTGCCCATACGGGGGGTCTCCAGGTGTGCTGGGGTGGGGGCTGCATCCCGGCCGGGGGGGCCAGGCTCACCCCCACTGCCCAGCGTCCTCACTGCTTCACCTTGCTGCGTGATGCTACCCACGGGGCGGCCACTGGAGCGCGCGAGGCGCGGTGCAGCTGCGCGGTCGCGCCAGCGAGCTGGAGGCCGAGCTGGCCGAGCAGCGGCACCTGAAGCAGCAGGCGCAGGACGAGAGCGAGTTCCTGCGGGCAGAGCTGGAGGAGCTGAAGAAGCAGCGGGAGGACACGGAGAAGGCGCAGAGGAGCCTGACGGAGATTGAAAGTGAGCGGGCCGAGCCAGCTCTCGGCTTGGGGAGGGGGTGAGCCCCAGGGGGGGGGTCCTGGGTGCTCATCTCGGTGTCCCTGCGTGCATGGCAGGGCGGGCGCAGGCCAACGAGCAGCGCTACAGCAAGCTGAAGGAGAAGTACAGCGAGCTGGTGCAGAACCACGCCGACTTGCTGCGGAAGGTGGGCTCCCCAAAACCCCCCTGGCATCCCCTTTCCCAGCCATGCTCCCCGACACCGGGGTTCGCTGAGCTCCCTCTCTGCTGTTGCCAGAATGCGGAGGTGACCAAGCAGGTGACGGCAGCCAGGCAGGCCCAGGGGGACGTGGAGCGGGAGAAGAAGGAGCTGGAGGACTCCTTCCAGCGGGTGAGCGAGCAGGCTCAGAGGAAGGTGAGTAGGGACACGGGGGGACGTGCCACGGATGAGCAGGGGGTTCCCCCATGGGGCACCGGTGCCGGCAACCTCTCTTCTTGCCGGCAGTCTCAGGAGCAGGCAGAGGTGCTGGACACGCTAAAGCGGGAGCTGGCAGCCAGCAGGCAGGAGCTGCAGGTCCTCCAGGGCACCCTGGAGTCCAGCACGCAGGTGAGAGCCCATGGGTGGCCCCCGCCAACCCCACCACCGCCCCGGGATGGGCAGCCCAGGCGAAGGGGAGGTCTGCCCGCTGTCGTGGTGCTTGGGCGAGGCGTTACCAATCCAGGAGGTGTTACCCGCCATTGGCCTAATAACCAACTCCCTGTCTCCTTCCTCCCCACATCTAGATGGGTGTGATGATCATACCGGGGGGGTTAACGCTCCTGGGTGCAAGAGCAGGGTCAGGTAGGGCGGCTCTGCCTGCTGTAAAACCCAGGCAGGGAGCGTGCCATCACATCGCAAGGCTTTGCATGGGCTTGCTGCCATGCCAGAGGGTATTTCATGCCTGTGAAGCTGTGGAGGACAGCAGGGGTTTCCAGGCTCATTGTAGAAGGCAGAAGCTGGCAGAACAATGGAGCTGCCCGACCCCGGGGTGGGCAGACGCGCTGCAGCAGGATGGGGATGGGGCAGAGCTGGCTCCGGGGCCGGTAGCCCCTGCTCCTCCATCAGGATGCTGACAGTCATAACAGAAGTGAATTTTCAATGATAAAAGCGAAAGGCCTCCCCCAGGAGCCTCGGCTGGCCTCAGGCAAGGCCATCAGTGCTGCAAGGGTGCTGCCAGGCACCGGGTGCTGCCAGGCACCAGGTGATGCAGGGCTGCAACCTGCAGGGGCTGCGACCTGCACAGTCTGCGATGCACCGAGCAGAGACAGTCGGGGTGGCCTGAACCTGGCCCATGAACAAGTCCCCAAACTGGAGGGTTCACCCTCAAGCACAGCCCTGACCGCTGTTTTGCGCTCACCCAGGCGGGAGCGGAGCAGAGCACCCGGATCGCCAGCCTGGAGCAGGAGAGGGACAGCCTGAGCCGGGCAGCAGAGCAGCACGGAGAGGAGATGGCCGCCCTGCGGGCTGAGCTGCAGCAGCTGCAGGACACGCTCAGCCGCGAGCAGGAGAGCAGCAAGATGGAGCTGGAGACGTTGCAGACCCAGCTGAGGGACAAGGTACCCCGGGGGCACCACTGGCACGGGGCATCTCGGCATTGCCCTCCCTGCCGCGCTGTGGGGATTCGGCAGCGGGGAGCCCGGGGGGCCCCGGGCCGAGCGGGGCCGGGGCCGGAGGGAAGGCGGCAGGGAGCGGGGCTGGGGCTCGCCCCAGGGCGCGGGGGGAGCCCGGTGGAGGCAGCGGGGGGGGGGGGGGGGGGGGGGGGAAAAGCCACATACAAACATGCAGCAGCGCCTGGCCGAGGAGCAGTTTGCCCTGCTGCAGGGCACTGCGCGGGAGGCGGAGCGGATGGTGCAGGATGCCCTCGGTCGCCTGGAGGATCCCGCTCACATCGGCTGCACCGGCTCGGCAGGCGAGTTCCCTAGTGCTCACCAAACCTGGCGTTATCCCAACCCACCACCGCGCAAAGTCCCCCTCCCTGCTGTCCTCTGTGCCAGTGGCGGAGAGCAGCCGTGCCGCAGACAGGGATGCCCCGCGTTTGAGTCCTGCCTGCTGTCTGCCCGCAGATTGCCTCCTGTCCAGGACGCTGGCAGCCTCCGAGTGCGTGGAGCGGCTGCGGGACGCGCACAGCAAATACCTTTCCAATCGCGCAGGTGAGAGCCGGCAGCCCTGGGCAGGGGCTGGGCTGGGGGAACGGGGCAGCTCCGGCTCTCGTGGGCTGGGTGGGCAGCGCCCGCCGGGGCTGAGGCGTGTGCCCGCTCTCCCGCCGCAGCCGTTGGCTCCCTTCTGCCCTGCCTGGCCCTCTTCGCCCACCTGGTCAGCGACACCCTCCTGCAGGGCAGCGCTACCTCCCACGTGGCCCCCATGGAGCCAGCTGACCGTGAGTGCTGCCCAACGGGGCGGGCAGGGGCTGGGGCAGGCAGGGGAACGGGTGGGCAGGACGCTGGGGCAAGTAGGATGCTGAAGTGGGCAGGGTTCAGGGGCCAGGGTGGGCAGGGGTGAGCACGGGCAGGATGCTGGGGCAGGCAGGGGCCGGGTGCCTCTGTCCCCACGTGCAGCACCCGCAGCCTCTTGTGCTGCCCACGCAGGTCTGCTGGAGATGTGCAAGCAGTGCGGCAGCGAGGCCGTGAGCTACCTCAGCGCCCTGCAAGACCCGGGGACGGTGGAAGGAGCTGACTGCAGCCTGGTGACAACCTGCCTGGGCCGGATCAGTGCCATCGGGGAGGTGGGTGCCCCAGGAAGGCTGGTGGGACGAGGTCAGGCCGTGGTGGGCGCCACTGGAGGGGCTGTGCCACCCCTGGGTGGTCCCTTTCATCCCATCCCCTCCCCAGGAGCTGCGGCCCAGAGGGCTGGACGTCAAGCAGGAGGAGCTGGGTGACCTGGTGGACAAGGAGATGGCGGCAACGGCAGCAGCCATCGAAACGGCGTCCACCCGCATTGAGGTGAGGGTCACTGCATGCCGCGAGGCACCCATGGGCGCCGCGCCTGCCGGGACCACCGGCACAAGGCCAGGATGGTGCGCGGGGCTCAGCGCGGCCTCTCTCCCCTCTACCAGGAGATGCTGAGCAAGGCACGGGCTGGTGACACTGGGGTCAAACTGGAAGTGAACGAGAGGTGAGCGGCGGCCGGGGTGCTGGAGAGAGATGGGCAGGCAGGATGGGGCCCAGTGCCACAGGCAGAGCGGCTGCCCCACGGCTCTGCGGTCTCTCTGCCCCACAAGTGGGGCTCAGTGGGGTTTGTCTCGCAGGATCCTGGGCTCCTGCACGGGCCTCATGCAGGCCATCCACATCCTGGTCCTGGCCTCCAAGGACCTCCAGAGAGAGATCGTGGAGAGCGGACGGGTGAGCTGGGGGCAGGGGTGCAGGCAGGGGTGCAGGCAGGGCACAGGGCAGCAAGTGCTTGGCCAGTGGGGGGTCAGCATGCGCTTGCTGGGGACATGTTGCTCCGAGCCTTGGCCCGTTGGGGCATCAACACTGGCTGCCTGGCGCTCCTGCCCCAGCCCTGGGCTCTCACCCTGGCCGTGGTCCCCAGGCTGTCACGGAGATCCCTGATCTCCCTTCCCACGCAGGGGACCCGGTGACCTCCCGGGCTCAGTGTCTCCCCAGCTCCCACACACATCCGAAATGAAACCCTGATTTACTCCCTTCCCCCGAGAGCAGGGGTTTGGGGGCCCTGCCACCCCCCTGTCCCCAACGCATGACCGTGCCTTTCCCGACGGCAGGGCGCAGCGTCCCCCAAGGAGTTTTACGCCAAGAATTCCCGCTGGACCGAGGGTCTTATCTCCGCCTCCAAAGCCGTGGGCTGGGGTGCCACCGTCATGGTGTAAGTGCCACCGGAGCAGGGAGAGGATGGCAGGGTCCTGCTGTCCCCACAGGGAGGGGATGGGGGTGGCGGGAGGCTGCTCCAGCCCCTCTCTGCCCTCCCGCAGCGACGCTGCCGACCTGGTGGTGCAAGGCAAGGGGACGTTCGAGGAGCTAATGGTCTGTTCCCGGGAGATCGCGGCCAGCACCGCTCAGCTGGTGGCAGCCTCCAAGGTAGGAGCCCGGTGCCCCGGGATGCTCCCGCACCGCTGCCCGCATCGCCCGGCAGCTCCCCCTGCCGCTGCCTGCGCTGGGCTCTGGGAGATGCCCATCCTCGAGCAGGCAGCAGTGAGGCTGCTCCCCTGGCCGTGGCTTGGGGTGACCCTGGGGCACTGCGTGGTCACCCAAAACCTTGGGGCTGGTCTCCTGCTCCCCCGGCGGGGCGTAAGCAGGCCCCTCGTTGCTGCCCCGGCAGGTGAAGGCAGACAAAGACAGCGCCAACCTTTGCAAGCTCCAACAAGCCTCCCGGGGTGTCAACCAGGCCACAGCCGGCGTGGTGGCCTCCACCAAGGCCGGGAAGTCGCAGGTGGAGGAGAAAGGTAATTGTGGGGCTGCAGGAGCATAAACCTGCCCCGAAACCTCTGCTTTTCGCGCTCGCCATCTTCAGTTGGCCGTGCCCCGGTGGTCTCTGCCTGCGGCTGCCCCTCGCTGCCCGCGTGTCCCGTGGCGGCAGACCCTGCCAGCGGCGTGGGAGCTGCCAGCGGGGTCCGAGCTGGGGAGCGGAGCTCGAGGGGTGCCAGTGGTGTCTTTCTCCACAGACAGCATGGACTTCTCCAGCATGACACTCACCCAGATCAAGCGTCAGGAGATGGACTCACAGGTAGGAGGTTCCCCTGTGCTTTGGGAAACACACCCACTGGTGCCTCGTTCGGGCTAACGAGAGGCCGCCCAGGCTGGAGGAGAGGTGGGTGGGTGCAGGCACCCTGCCCGGCTGCCTGGTCCTGGGCACCTCCAGCTCGCAGGGAAAGCCCAAGGAGTGAAGGCAATGGCCAGGTTTGCCCAGGAACCGTGTGCAGTTGGTCCTCGAGCCTTCCCTGACGCCATCTCCATCACGGCACAACATCCCAAAGGCCTCTCCCTGCTCCTGGGTGCCCCTGGGCTGCCCCACAGCGCCCACCTCCACCTCGCACGGGGCATCCCCGGGGAATTCCCCTTCCCAGCGTGCCCACGCAGGTCGCTCTGCCTTCCCCTGCCTGCACAGGCAGTGCCCACCTGAGCTCGCTCCCCTCCCCAGGACCGTTTGCCATCGGAGCACTCATGGGATGTACCTCAGTGGTCTTTGGGCTTGGTATCGGGGAGATAACGGGTGCGAAAGGGGGGTGCCCAGCCCCGCACGGCTCCGTGGCAGCTGGAGCACCCGGGTACTGTGCCGGGGCGCAGGGTGGCCATGGGGTGCTCGATGTCCTTCAGGTGCGGGTGCTGGAGCTGGAAAACCAGCTGCAGAAGGAGCGGCAGAAGCTGGGGGAGCTGCGCAAGAAGCACTACGAGCTGGCAGGAGTGGCGGAGGGCTGGGAGGAGGAGGGTGAGTGGATCCCGGTTCTGCTCCAGCTGGGAAGCTGCTCCGGGAAGGATGGGGAAGCCCTGCCTGCAGTCCAGGCAGTGAGCGGGCATGGGTTTCACTCCGGCTGGCACAAGCGGAGCCCAGGAGTAGTCGGCACACATGGGCAAAGCCACAGGGACCCTGACCTGTGCAAGAGCCTGTGGGACCCACATCGCCCCTGGGCAGGGTGCTGGGTGCTGCTGGGGCTCTGCCGCCCTGCGAAGCCCTGGGGTCCCAAGGGGATGGGACGGAGGGATGCTGGGGGCACCGCGTCGCTCCGCACCCCCTTACCCTCTCCCCCCTCGCCAGCTGCAGAGTAACGCCCGTGGCAGAAGCAGCCCGCAGGGGACACCCCGACGGCGGGCTGGGACCCAGCTCGGCGCAGCCTTTTGGGAAGATCCACGATAAACCGGTGCAGAAGCCACCCCGAAGCACACGCCCTCCGCGTCCCCCCCGCCAAGAGCCGCCTCCAGCGCCAGAGCACCGAGAGCCGCCCGGCGAGACCCCTGGGGTTGGGGGGGGGTCTCGGGGGGGGTCTTTAACCCTTTAGTTTTGTTTTTGCACAGATTTTTCAGAACTCTTTGAGCCGGCTCTGGCTGAGTGAGAGCGGTCGGGTTTCTTTCGTCTCTCGCTGCTTCTCCAGCCTTAACCCGGTCCCTGGCTCGGCGCAAACATCCCCCCTCCCCGTGAAGGAGCCTGCCGCGGTGCTAAGGGCCCTGGGGGGTGCTGCCGGGTCAGGAGCCAGCTTTTGGGGTGCTGCTGGGCTTGGTGCTAGGTGTGCTCCCCCCTCCGGCGGGGGCACCGAGTGCCTTTGGCTGCTGCAGGGTGGCGGGGAGCGTTCCCGTGGGACAATGCGGCCGGTGGGACCAGGGTGCCGGCAGCAGTGCTGGGAGCGGCTGGCGGTGAGGAGGGAGCGGGCAGCGGGAGGGGTGCTGCTGTGAGCTCCTGCCCCCCAGGCCGGGTCCCCAAAATGCTCCTCCCCACCCCCCGGAGCTGGGCTGCCCTGCCCTGACAGATCACTGTGTTCATGCCAGCAATAAACCCTCCGCAAGGTGCTGGGCGCGGGTTTGGGCAGTCGCGATGCCACCGCACAAGCCACCAGCTCCTGGGGACGGGGGGTGGCTTTAGGGCAGCAGCACAGAGGGGCTGGGGGCAGCTGGGGTGCCCCAAAACCAGAGCACCCCGAAGCCAGAGCAAGCAGCTCCCTGTGCCCATTCGCTCTGGGCTGGTGCCACCTGTGTCTTTGCCACCCTCTTTGGTGCATGGGGGATCGGTGCCGGCGTTGCTGCGGGCAGGGGCGGCCGTGGGGCTGGCACTGACCGGGGAACCTTTGTGCCTTGGAGCAGGGGGCTCGGAGGGCAGGGGGGTGTCTGCCAGCTCCGGGCCCCCCAGCTCGCCTCGCTGCAGTGGGGGCGGTGGCGTCGGACTGCGCAGCGCTGTCCCCGTCCCCCACGGCCACCCCCATGGTCCTGCTGGTGCCCCTTGCAGGGCCAGGGTGTCTCTCCCGGCCTGGCAGCATCGCTGCCTGCACCCTGCCTTCAGGCAGCTGCCCTGTCCTGGGGGGGGGAGAGGCAGCCAGACCAGCCCCCTCGGGGTGATGGGGGTGCAGGATTTGGCCTTTCTCCCTTTAGGAAGGGGTGGCTGGGCTGTCACCGCGTGCTTTCCCACCTCAGCCCTCGGCTGGCACTCGGAGCAGTGGGACCCACCTGCGTCCCCTGCCTGGCCAGGCCATCACCACGGCCTCGGGGCTGCCACCCCCTACGCACAGGAGAGCGCAACCGTCCACCGTGCAGGGACCCGGTGTCCCCGCGTCCCTCAGCCAGCCCTGCTGCCAACACACCCGCTCCATGCCCCCAGCCTGCCCGGGACCCCTCAGGGACCTCGGGGCTTCCCCCCCAGTGCTCCCACTGCCGCCCCACGCCTCGCCGCAGCCAG